ACTCTTAAGGAATTTCCATGTACCTGAAGGTTGGATTTAAAGAGTTTCGTTGAGCTGGAAAAACTGGGCAGGTCAGTAAAAGTTTGAATTAAGAGACCAAGGTCTACTTTTTGCAAATGACACCCATGCTTTAGGTGCTCCTGCCCCATGTGAGGTTGTTGTTGTTGTTACCTGCTGTCGAGTTGGTTCCAACTCATAGTGACCATGTATAGGAGTTCTGAGGAGCAGCTGGTGGGTTTGAACTGCCAACCTTGTGGTTCGCAGTCCAGTGCTGATCCTACATCACCACACCAGCAGTCTGATTGTAAGGTAGTGAAAACTAAAATAAATTGAGTGAACTCTGTCTTTTGTACTTTTTCAAGACCGGTGAGGAATTTCTTCAATATTACTTCGTCCCATGGCTCCCTTCCTGGAGGAAGACCAGCCTGTGGATTTTACAATGAGCTGTGTGATGGTGAGCCTACTTTTACAGGTAAGTGTGACAGCTTGGAGAAGGTGGCAGGCAGAGATTACCTAGGCCTGATGCTCAACCACAGTGCTAGTGACATGTGGGGCTGGATGATTCTCTGTGGTGTGTGCAGGGGCCCCGTGCATGTAGGATGTTGAGCAGCACCCTTGGTGTCGAACCACTAGATAGCATCCTTCTAGTTGTAAGACCCTTAAAGGTCTCCAGACACTGAAAAATGTCTCTGAGGAAGACTAAAGCAGATGCGTCCTCCCCTGTTGAAAGTCACTGCCCTAGGGAAATTGGACTCAGGATCTTCTAGGGAAGTAGAAAGAATCTGGGCAGGGGAGGGCTGCCCACTGGCTAGGAGCTCAGGCTCTGGAACTCGATGGGTCATGCTGAAAGAATGACTCTAAGGACAGCACACAGTAGATGGCCGATCAAAGCTGGTGGCAGCATTAGAAATCTTCCTCCTCATTGATCTCTCTACAGTGGGAGTTCCTAGTCAAAGGGGGAGGGGAGTGCAGGTGCCATGAGAGAAAGGGTGGTCGAGGTGGATTCATGGAAGAAATGACATCTGAGTAAATTCAGTGTACCCAACTCATCCCCATGACTGTGCAGCTTGAGAGGCATTTGGTTGGCAGGGCTAGGCCAGGGCATGGATGCATTTCTTCTGGTGTTAGGCTGACTCAAATCACTTTGTGTTTCTGTCTGCCAGGAACAACTGCCATGATTCTCAAGCTGATGATCCTGTTGGTTGTCTTGGGAGCTGCCAGCCTAGGTCTGATTTTAAGGATGCAGAGGGGAAAATGGCAGAGACAACTTAAAGACATTTGGTGGCAAATAAATTATGATGACATTACCATTCTGCCCCAGAACAAGGTAAGGCCCCATGTGGCCCACACCACCACTCCTGGAAGGGGCCTTGTCTAGAAGCTTAGGAGAGCAGGAGGATGACTCATTTATAAAGAGAGCACTTAACAAGAATGGAGACAGTGGTGGCTCAGTGGTAGAGTCCTTACCTTCCATGCAGGAAACCCGAGTTCCATTCCCAGCCAGTGTACTTCGGGTGCAGTCATTGAAGACTTGTGTGCTGCTATGATGCTAAAGAAATTTCCCTGGAGCTTCCAGACTTAGACAGACTAGAAAGAAAGGCAATAGAATCAGCCAGTGTGAACTCTATGGATCACAATAAATAGTCCAGGACTAGACTGCACATGTGGTCACCATGATTCAGGTGGGATGTGGGGGAGCTAACTTCACAGAAGCTAACAACAACAACTTAATGAAGAGCCTTGCTACCTGAGTTCTGTTTTCAGGCCTGCTGCTTGCTGAATATCTCTGGGAAAGCCATTTAGCCTCTCCGGTCCTCTGAATACACACACAGATTGAACAGTCTCTAAAGTCCCCTTCAGCTCTATGCTATGTGGGTATAAGGACCTATAGGTCCTGCTCAGTTATTCAAGTGTTTCCTAGGAGCATGTGTTTTCAGAGCCTCGGGAACTCCTTTAACCCACTTGTACAATGAGGTTATTAGCTCAGCAAATACTAGTTGAGAGTCTCCTATAGGCCAATCTAAGTGCTGGGCCTGGGGATACAGCCACAAAGGAGAGGAGAGGTGGCTTTTGGGAAGAGTAGGCTTGCTAGATGGTAAAAAGGGGAGAAGTAATCAGGATATGCCAAGACTTGGGGTGCTCACGGACTGGAAGCAAGTCAGGTACCATGTTAGGGGGACTTCAGCTAAACCCGGAAGACTGAGATATATTTGGTAAATCATTTTCAAACGTTTCTGGGATTCTGGGACTCATTGGCCTGGTGGTGGAGGTGAACGATCATTGGGAGTGGTAGGTGGGGAGAACACTGAGCCCAGAGGATTTTGAGCTTCCCTTTTCCATCATCAGTCAAAGCAATCTTGCCTTCTTCATCTGTCTGGTTTCCAGTTAGGACTCCATATAAGACTCTTTTTGAAAAATTGGGTCCCTTTTCATCAAAGGCATTTTCTCGTTGTGGTTCAAACCCACCCTGTGGCTTCACAGGACAAAAGACTTGGAGATCTGTACCCACAAAAATTACATGCAGCAAAACCCAAGGAGGCAGTTCTACTCTGTCTCAGAGTCACTGTGGGCCAGAGTCAACTCAACGGCACACAACAGGAACACTTGTGATTGGTTAGGTATTCATTTAGGAAAATGATTCTGGCCCAAGGACATTGTTGTTCCTGTTGTTACGTGCCATCAAGTCAGTACCCACTCATAGTGACCTTATGCACAGCAGAACGAAACTCTGCCTGATCCTGGCCAACCTCACTACTGTTGCCATGTTTGCGTCCATCGATGCTGCCACTTGGCCGATCCATCTCATTGGGGGTCTTCCTTTTTTTCTCTGACCCTCCACCTTACCAAACCTGATATCATTCTCTAGTGACTGGTCCCTCCTGACAATATGTCTAAAATATGAGAGACAAAGTTTGGCCATCTTGACCTCCAAGGAGCACTCTGGCTGCACTTCTTCCAAAATGGATCTATGGTTCTTTTGGCAGCCCATGGCACTTTCACTATTCTCCTCCAACACCATCACTCAAAAGCATCAATTCTTCTACAGTCTTCCTTATTCACTGTACAGCTTTTGCATGCATATGAAGTTATTGAAAATACCATGGCTTGGGTCAGGCGCACCTTAGTCAAACTAACTGAAAATCATCAATTTTTCTACGGTCTTCCTTATTTACTGGCCCAAGGACATATAAGTAGTTAAATGGTGGAGCTGGGACTTGTTTTATAACGACTACAGTCTACTGCCCACGGTGGTCCAGATGCCAAGAATGATGTGTGTAGGAGTTAGGCACTTGCTCTTCAAGGTCAGAGAGGTCAGAGTTCAAGTTCTGACTTTCCCTTTTATTAACGGTGTGACTTTGGTACCCAGTTTCCTCCTCTACAGAATAAATGTATATTCCTGTGTTCTGTTTTACAGCCATCCCAGAGAGGCACACCTGCTTCAAGAGGAAACCTCAGTAGTACATCCAGTGTGATGATTTCTGGAGACCTTGGCTCCTTTGTCAAGAGTCAGCAGGGGGAAGAACTCTTCTATGCCCCAGTAGGACTTTACCAGGTATGTCTAATGGCAAGATGCTGCATGTTGGACTCGGGACATCTCTGTTCTGCTCTCTGCCTGTTCTCCCTATGGGGTTGGGCATTCTTGGTGCAGTGGGTAAGCACTCAATAGCTAACCTAAAGGTTGACAGTTCTAACCCACAGCCACTCCATGGGAGAAGGATGTGGCAGTCTGTTCTCCTAAAAACTGCACTATGAGACAGTTCCATTCTGTCCTATAAGATCCCTAAGAGTTGGAATTGGCTCCATGGCAATTGGTTTGGTTTGATTTGGTTTCCCCACGCTAAAGCCAAGATAGTCTTGTGGCCCCACATCAGAGTTTCTCAAATTTTAATATGCATACAAATCAGCTGGTGTTCATGTTACAATGCAGATTTTGATTCGCTTGGTCTGGGTTCGAATTTTTGAGTCTTCGTTCTAACAAACATCCAAGTGATTTTTATGCTGCCGGTCTTGAGCACATTTTGAGTAGCAAGACTTTTAGACTAGACCCAGTTCTGTCCCATAGACCTTTCTGTGATGATGGAAATGTTCCATATCTGCACTGACCAATATGGCAGCCACAAGCCATTACTCAATGAACCTTGGTGGTACAACAGTGAAGCACTTGCTGCTAACAGAAAGTTTGATGGTTTGAAACTGCCCAGTGGTCTGCAGGAAAATGACCTGGTAATCTTCTCCTGTAAAGATTGTTGTTGTATGTTGTTAAGTGCCATCGGATCAGTTCTGACTCATAGCAACCTTGTATAGAGTTTCTGAGGAGCGCCTGGTAGGTTTGAACTGTGGTGGTTAGCAGTCCAGTGCTTATCCTACATTACCACACCAGGCCTCCTATAAATATGACAGCCTAGGAAACCTTATGGAGCCATTCTGCTCTGTGAAATGGGCCACTGTTAGTTGGCTCGATGGCACCTAAGAACAGTCACTGCCTGTTTAGTCCCACAAAGTAGGACTGAGGAATTGAACTGAAATGATTTCATTTTAATTCAGTTAAATTAAAATAGCCCATGTGACTAGTGGTACCCCATTGTGCAGCGCAGACCTTGTGTGAGGAAAATTTCGCCCTTGATTCCTAAGCACTGAGGGACCGCTAACCAGTAGTGGATTTTGAGGCTTCTGCACACAAACTGTCAGCTGCTGAAGTCTGAAGCATAATTCCTCCCTGGGCCATCCTACCTCCCAAACCCCAGACACAGAGTAGCCTGTGTTTAGTGATCCTTCAGAAGTTCAAGTCCCCTGGGGGGAGGGAAATTATGTAAAGAAAAGACATCTGTATTTACTCTTTAAAATGGAAGTCCTGGAGAGTAGGGGCAGAAAGCTCTCAGCAAGAGAAGACTTGTTCATTGCTCCAAACTGGGCAAATTGAACTTATCAGTCACTTGAGTTTCCAAACAAAAATCCTGCTGGGATATTACCTACCACACACCTTCAGAACCACCATGTAGGTTACTAGGTGTATTGCAGTCAAAACTCATTTCGAGACGGGAGCCAGTAAGCACACCCAACACATCTCATGTTCCCTTCCCTCCCTCCATCACCATCATTGGCTCCCTACCTCTGTGGCCCACGCAAATGTTGTTGTTAATTGCCATTGAGTTGGTCCCAACTCGTAGCGACCCTGTATAGAGTTTCCGAGGCTTAAAATCTTCCCGGGAGCAGAAAGCCCCATCCTTCTGTTGTGAAGCAGTGTGTGGACTCAAACCATGGACCTTGTGGTTGGCATTCCAGTGCTTACTGTCTGGTCTGCACAATAGTGTTGTCAACAGTCCTTAACAAGGGATTCAAGGCACTCTGGCATCTAGGCCCAACCTACTTTTAGACCTTCCAGATCTTATGCTCATCAGATTGGTCTTGTCGATTATGGTGCGTGTACTCTACTCCCTAACAATGCCATGCTTGCTCCCCTTCATCCCATCCATCTGGAACCTTCTTACCTGTCATGGTTCCATGTAAGGATTGTCTCTTATAAGAACACTTTTCTTTATCTCACAGGGATCTCTTCCTTCCTCCTTGAGACTCCAATCACCATGCTTCTTGTCCTAAGTCATTAATTCGATACTGCCAAATAGTGTGGCACGGCAAGTTAATGCACTGGATGGCAAGGTTGGTTTGAACCATAAGGTTGGTGGTTCAAGCTCACCAGCCGCTCCTCAGAAACCCGATACAGGGTTACTGTGGATTGGAACTGACTCAACAGCACTTCTCAACAACAACAAAGTCAAGAGGCAGATCTTGGGCTGGTTGGTATTTCACTTGTTCCATGGCTCACCTTTTCTTGGTTACAGACCCAGTCACTTCTTTCTACCAGCTCTTTTCACATTGCTGTATGTTTTGGTGGTGAGTGATTAAGGGCCTCTCTAAAAGCAGACTCTATAGATAATCACAATAAGAGATGCTGCTTGCCAAAAATTTTATATGTGCCAGGCCTTGAACTAACAGTGCTACATGTTAGCTCATTTAATATTCTTAACAATCCTAAGAGATTCCAACCCACAGCAACCTTACAGGACAGAGGAGGACTGACCTTTAGTGTTTCCTAACCTGTAGATCTTTCCAGAAGCAGACTGTTGCATCTTTCTCCTGAGTAGTGGTGAGTGGGTTCAAACTTCTGACATTTTGGTTAGCAGCATGTGCTTAATCATTGTGCTGGACAGTGGTAGAGCTGGACTTTGAACCCAACATCTAACTTCAGACTTACACTTGGGTCCCTACTTCAATATACTCTCAGCATAATAATGAACATTACTATGTAATAGGAATCATTATATAATTTGTATATAATTTATGATTATACAACAGTGCAGTGTGATGATGTCTCTTATCTGGCTGCTGCTGCTGCAAGCATGCCATTTTTACATATAGTCTTGGAGTAAATAAATAAGCTAAATCAACTCGACTGTGACTCATGTTTGTTGTTAAATGCCATCGAGCCAGTTCTGAGTCATAGTGGCCATACAGGGATTCCAAGGAGTGGTTGGTGAGTTTGAACCACCAACTTGTGGTTCAAAGTGACCTTATAGTCAGTTCAGCGCTTTATCCTACAGCCCCACACAAGGACTCCTGGTAGCCCTGTGTGTATCAGAGTAGAATAGAGCTCCCGAGCGTTTTCAGTGTCTGACATTTGAGAAGGCATCTCTAGGTGGACTCAATTCACCAATCTTATGGTTAGCAGCGAAACACTTAACCACTTCACCACCAGGAACTTCAGTCTTGCAGTCAGATGCTCAACTTCCGGCTACTGATGGTCCAAAGGATGCTTCCCCAGTTTCCTAATGTGTGATTTAGACAAGTTATTGGATTTCCATGATCCTGTCTGGAAATGGGTTATGCATACCTACCTTGCCATTTCAATATGTTTCGTATTTAGCATCTAGCACAGTACCTGTTTTGGGGTGGTACAAATAGTTAATGTGCTCAACTGCTCATCAAAAGGTTGGAGGTTCAAGTCCACCCAGAGGTGCGTTGGAAGACTGGTCTGGTGACCTACTTTCTAAAACGCAGCCATTGAGAACTCTATGGAGCTCAGTTCTGCTCTGACACACAGGGGTTGAGTCACAACTGACTGGATGGCACTGGGCAGCACAGTGAGGAGCTCACTGAGTTTTCCTACAAGTGGCCTTCCGGCTCCCTTCCTAGCCTTTTCTGGGGAAGCTTCCGCTGGACCATCCTGGGTTAAGCACCCTCTGCTTTGTTTCTTGCTCCAGGGAAACCATGTAGCCATTCGCTATGTCAGTGAGCAAGCTGAAGCCTGGATTAAGAAGCCAGCTGTACTTCAGGAAATCCGACTGGTGAGGCTCCGCCCTTTGGGGGAAGGGGGAGACCACTGCCCTGTGCTCCTGACACCCCCTCCCATGACCTGCTTCTACTTGTGAGGAGTGGTTCCCATCCCAAAGGAGTAAGGGTATTCCCTTAACTTGGCGCTCACCTCTTCCCTCTTCACTGACAACCCAATTTGGATTTCAGATTCTTTGGTGCCTGAAGTGTGGGATCTCTCCCAGTCACCCTTTTCTTCACTTGATCCTTCCTTGGTCCTTAATCCTCTATGTTTGTGATGGTTGTTCACCTGCCTTGAACCTGCTCCTTGGAGAGAGAGTCAAGTTCCTGGGATCTGATTCCTAGCTCTATATCTAGGATCTGTCTTGGCCCATATCCTGATACTGCCAGTCATAGATAAACAAGGATGGGTCTACCCTTTGTGACATGGACTAGTTTATATCTACATACAGGATTAGGCTTAGATTGTCCACTGGTTTATTTTCTGATGGAGACCATCTGACTTTACATCCCACCTCTGTTGCTTATAAGTTATCTATTTCTGTTGTTGTTAGGTGCCATCGATTTGGTACCGATTCATAGCGACATTATGTACAACAGAATGAAACACTGCCTGATCCTGGGCCAACCTTACAATTGTTGCCACGCTTGAGCCCACTGATGCTGTAACTTTGCCAGTCTATCATGTTGGGGGTCTTCCTCTTTTTCTCTGACCCTCCACCTTACCAAACATGATACCTTTCTCCAGTGATTGGTATCTCTTGACAATATGTCTGAAGTACGTGAGATGAAGTTTGGCCATCCTTGCCTCTCAGGAGCACTCTGGCTGCACTTCTTCCAACACAGATCTGTCTGTTCTTTCAGAAGCCCATGGCACTTTCAATATTCTCCTCCAACACCATAACTCAAAAGCATCAGTTCTTCTACAGTCTTCCTTATTCCCTGTCCAGTTTTCACATGCATATGAGGTAATTGAAAATACCATGGCTTGGGTCAGGCGCACCTTAGTCCTCAAACTGACATCTTTTCTCTTCAATACTTTAAAAAGGTCTTGTGCAGCAGATTTGCCTAATGCAATACATCGTTTGATTTCTTGACTGCTGCTTCCGCGAGTGTTGATGGTTGATCCAAGAAGAATGAAGTCCTTGACAACTTCAATCTTTTCTCCGTTGATAAGAATGTTGTTTGTTGGTCCAGTGGTGAAGATTTTTGTGTTCTTTACTCAGAAACTCTGTTCAGGGTCGCTATGGGTCGGAACCGACTCGATGGCACTTAAGAACAACAGCAACAGCATTGAGATGTAATCCATACTGAAGGCTGCGCTCTTTGATCTTCATCAGTAAATATTTTAAGTCCTCTTCACTTTCAGAAAGCAAGGTTGTATCATTAATTGACCACCTCAAGTATCAGTTTCCCCATCTGCAAAATAGGAGCAACAGTAGTCCTTATCTCATGGGATCTTTGTGAGAATCAAATGAGAGAAAGGATGCAAAACACATAGGTGACATCGTTCCTGGCATTGAAAACATACTCTATTGTTGTTGCTGTTAAGTGTCATTGAGTTGATTCTGACCCATAGTGACCCTGTATAGGGTTTCCAAGGAGCATCTGGTGAGCTTGAACCACCAACCTTTCAGGTCAAATGGCTTTGTGGTCTGGTGCACTAACCCACAGCGCCAGGACTCCAATCTATAGAGTCTATATTACTCCTATTACTGTTATTATTTTTAGATGTGTGACTTGAGACACGACAACATCGTTCCTTTCTTTGGTGTTTGCATGGAACCACCTAACATATGCATTGTCACCCAGTATTGCAAAAAAGGAAGTTTGAAGGTAAGCATAGTAGAAAAGCTTACCTCAGGTTTGATTACTGTCAAATAATAAGGAACCTGATCAGCGATTGTCCTCTTTGGTCCAAGGGTGGTTCCTGTCTGGTCTGATTGTAAGACCTGAAATTTTTTAGTCAGCCTGTAGGTGATAAAATTACCCCTGGTGTCACCAAGAGTCTGGGGTTCTTTGTTTTGGATGGAAACTGTCTGAATTTGGCTTTACCTCCTAAGATGTGACAGCTTTTGTTGACTTGTGCTTCTGGGCTGATCCTATACATGATATGTGACAATTAGCTTTATGTCTGGAAAAAGGAATTTTTTGTAAAAGTCAAGACTGTGTACTTTCTCAATTCTGAGTCAATGCATAGTACAGTAATCCTGGAAAAATGTCTGGTTACTAGATTTAGATAGCTCTGCCTCAGATCATATTCAATGTATGAGAGCTCACTGTGCTTTGGGTCAAGTCACTGGTGAAGCTCACTGTGCTTTGGGTCAAGTCACTGGTGATATTTTGAATTAACTGTCTTTCAGGATGTTTTGGGAAACTCAGGTATTGAAATGGATTGGATATTCAAGCTGTCATTTGCATATGACATAGCCAATGTAAGTATAACTTAAACTTGAAGAGCAAATTCCAAAGTGTTTCTGAGTTGTTCTCTGTGTTGGACTGAAATGGATCTAAGAACTTTTCAAGGTTGATTTGAACCTCAAAAGGTGGTGGTTCCAACCCTCCAGCCGCTCCTTGGAAACCCTATATAGAGGCGATATGAGTCAGAAACAACTCGATGGCACGTAACAGCAACACACTTGTTTTAAAGATTCTTGTCTTCCTCCAATCTCCTCTTGAAACAAAATGACTTCAAACCTAACAGCTACCGCTTCAACCAGATGTTCCGTGTTTCTGCCTCTCTGACCTCAAGTCAAGATTGAGAGAGGAAAGCATTTTATATTCAAGTTGGGATAGGTGCCTTGTGGTTGCTAGTGTTTGGTACCATTGAGTTGCATCTGATTCATAGCGACCCTAAACACAACAGAAGGAAACGCTGGCCAGTCCTACACCATCCTCACAACTGTTGCTACGTTTGAGCCCATTATTGCTGCCTCCAAGTCAATCCATCTCATTGAGGCTCTTCTTTCTTTTTGCTGATCCTTCACTTTACCAAGCTTGACATGCTTCTCCAGGGACTTGTCCCTCCTGATAACATATCCAAAATATGAGAGATGAAGTCTGCCCATCTTCACTTCTAAGGAGCATTCTGGCTGTACGTCTTCCAAGACAAATTTGTTTGTTCTTCTGGCAGTCCATGGTAACTTATTATTCTCCTCCAACACCATAATTCAAATGCATTAATTCTTCTATGGCCTTCCTTATTCATTGTCCAACTTTTACATGCATATGAGGTGATTAAAAATACCATGGCTTAGGTCAGTGCGCCATTTTCCTCAAAATGCTGGGCTTACCCAATCAGTGAAGAAAAGGGTATTTACATTTTAGAGTAGGTTGTTTTATTTTATTATTTTTCCAAAGAGAATGTAATTACTAGACCATTAAGTGAGATGGGAAGGATTCCTAATATTCCAGAAAATGGAAATCAGTGCTATGAAATCACAACACTGCTACCCTTTGAGGTGAGCTTTGAATTCAGAAGGTGTATCTATCTGTGTAAGGAAGCAGAAACTGCTTTAGACAAGGGGATGAACAAGAAGAGGATAATAATAATAATGTTGTTGTTGTTAAGCGCTGTCGAGTCGGTTCCAACTCATAGCAACCCTGAATAGGGTTTCTGAGGCTGTAAATCTTTACGGGAGCAGAAAGCCTCCTCTTTCTCCCGTGAAGCAGCTGGTAGTTTCGAACTGCTGACCTTGCGGTTCATAACCCTATGCTACCAGAGCTATTCTTAATAATAATAACTAACCTATATTTCGTGCTGAGTTTGGGCCAGGCACCGTCTAGCAGGTGGTATGCATTAACTTATTTCCTTATCATAAGAAAATGTCAGGTAGATCCACTGTGACCCTCATTTCACAGAGGGGCAAGCAGGGCACAGAGCGTTTATATAACATGCCCTAAGTCTCATAGCTACTGATACCAACCATAAGAAATGGTACCTGCTATCCCTTCTAACTCTTTCTACTCAACTGAGTTCAATAATTTGTTGCAATGAGTACACAAAACTCAGGCACCACACTCACAATTAGGGGGTTTTAGGGAGGTTAACAGGTTACAATGCAGGAACAAAAACTGCTCAGGGCATATTTCTAGTCAGGACAGTCTCTCCGTCACTGTGCCCACAGGCAGGCTTCTCTCTGGCCCTTGGCCTGGCCTCTATCCTGCCTAGGCAGTGTTACAAAGCTCTTTCAGAGCTGTTTATAAATGCCTGGTGTGGCATTGTGGGTTAATGAGTCAGACTGCAAAGTCATTTGAACTGCAATGTCGCTGGTTCAAGCTCACCAGCTGCTCCTTGGAAACCCTATACAGGGTCACTATGGGTTGGAGGCAACTTGGTGGAACTTAACAAAAACATAAACGCCCAAAGGACACTCCACTCCTCTATAAGCCTCAGCTTGAAGGAACTCAGCTCTGGCTCTGTGGGTCAGCAAATTTAGCTCTCCTGTTAAGTTCCTGGACGCACCCCACTCCACAAGTGAACCTCATGCCTAATGGCCCTCAGTTTTACTTGCTCTGTGGGCTGGGAGGCCCACCACTCTGTCTCATGCTCCGGATCTTGGCTCTGGTGCAGCTGCATCTCTGCCCTTCCTCCTTTCTGTCCCTGGAAGGTTCAATGCACAGAGATCTCAGGATCCAAAGGCTGTGTTCTACTCTTGGCTTTTCTTCCTCGGTGGTAGTAAGATCACCCCACCTCTGCTTCTGAGATGATTCATTTTATACCCAGTAGGAAGACCCCCAGTGAGATGGATTGCCAAAGTGGCAGAAATACTGACATTGGCCCAGGATCGGGCAGTGTTTTGTTCTGCTGTGCATAGGGTCACTCACTATGAGTCGGTACCGACTCGATGGTACCTAACAACAACAACAGGATGGCAAATTTGGCTAAGCACAATTAGCCCTGTTAACACTCACTCACAACTGAATCTTATAATCCATCAGTACCTCCCCCACCTTTTCTTACCCAGACCCATCAGGAAAAAGTTATTTGGTGGGAGTTTACAAAACCATGGCTAGAAAAGACATTAAATAGCTCACTGGCATCAAGTCGATTCTGACTGTTTATAGTTTCCAAGACAGTAAATTGTTACAGGAACAGATAGCCCCATCTTTCTCCCTAGAAGAAAAGTGGTGGGTTTGAACTGCCAACCTCACAGTTAGCAGCCCGACAATGAACCCACAGAGTCAGCAGGGCTTCTAAGCTCCTTGTTGCTCAATCAATGGTGGAGCCAGGATTTGAACCTAAGCATTTTTGAGCCATGTGCCCTTAACCACTCGGTTACACTGGCAGAACTGGGTGCTCTCTGGACTTTATAGTGAATGCAGCGAAGGGCTTCTCTTCCTCAAGGCAATCAATGCTCTTGTTTCTAACCCACTGAATCTTTATGGCCTTGTGACAGTTTGACTTTCTAGGCCTTCGTGGGAAGCCAGCATATTATTATCCAGAAAGGTAGACAAACAGAAACCTCTCTGTGATTGGGTCTCCATGGGCAACCTTGGGTCTCCATCGTCATTACTTCAATAAACCTCCATTGAGCATCTGTGTAGGGTTGGTTTATTTTAATCTGGGCACTTTAATAGGAAAACAAAGGCTTGTTTCTGGCTGTGAATGGTTTAAAATCTAGATATGGAGGAACCGCCCCTCCCCAACAACCCAGCAATCAAGACATGTACATATGAAACGTACATATGAAATGTATAAGTGGCAGTGGAACGGTTGTAAATGGAGGCGCCTCCCAGCTCTGTCTCTGTCTGCTGTGCACAGGGAACTAGGCTAGACTGAAATGCTCTGAATCGAGTCAGTTCCTGGTGATGTCAACTGTTAGTGTGCTTAGCTGCTAGCTGGGAAGTTGGAGGTTTGAATCCACCCAGCTGTGTGCTGGAAGCAAGCCTAGTGGTCTGCTTCTCAACAATCAGTCCCTGAAAACGGAATGGAGCCCAGTTCTAGTCTGACACATACAGGGTTACTGCGTGTCAGAATTGACTTAAAAGTAATTTTTATTTTTTGGCTTTATCCCAATGAAAACAGTTGGTATTATTTATATTGGACATGAAAAGCAAGCTGCTAAGTAAATTCTCATCAAGGTGTAAATGATCAGTAGGGTTCATTCACCTTTTCAGGATAGGTATTTAGTTTTCAAGCAACACTGAAAATAAGGTTTCTCTGAAGTGGCCTTCTGAATGGAGACTTTGAAGTGGCCATCCCCTAGTCCGGCCACCCCCAACCCCCACCCCAAGTCTGTGTCTGAGGAACAGAGATGTAAATGGCTTTATCAATCGTTATTTATGTGGATTTCATATTGAAAGATAAGAGTTTAATATATTGCTGTTGTTGTTAAAGTGCTGTCAAGTCGGTTCCAACCCATAGCGACCCTGTATAGGGTTTCCAAGGAGCAGCTGGTGAGCTTGAACCATCAACCTTGCTGTTCAAACCAACTTTGCAGCTTATCAAATTAACCCACAGCGTCACACCAGGACTCCTTAATATATTGAGGGAAAGAAAATATATTATTAGAATTACTTTGATCTGTTTCATTTTTTTTAATGTACTGGAAAATTTTTAATTGCACATGGCTCTGCTTATTTTTTTATTCCATAGTGCGGTTACTAATATCCACAAGAAATCTCATTATGAATTCATTACTAACACCACCATTAAAAATATTGAACTCCATTTTAAACAGGGAAGAAGTGAGACCTAGCAAAAGGAGCTGGGATTAGCAGCTCGTCTCTTTCCAAAGACTGCTAAGTACCAGAGCACCCAAACACCTCAACACAAAACCCTAAGCCCATTCTGACTCATAGAGACCCCATGTGTTAGAGACTAGGACTGCTCCATATGGTTAGCTTGTCTGTCCTCTTTACAGAAGCAGAGCTCCAGGCCTAGCTTCCATAGAGTAGCTGGAGGCTTTGAACCACCAACCTTTAGGTTAATTTGTTGCTAAGTGCCATTGAGTGGGTACCGACTCATAGCGACTCTGTACAGGGTCTCCAAGGAGCGGCTGGTGAACTTGAACTACCTTGAAGTTCAAATGACCTTGCAGTCCAGTGCATTATCCCACAGTGCCACACCAGGATGCCTTTAGGTTAATAGCTGAACGCAAACCATTAGTTAGTGCCATCCAGGGTCCTTTACTAGGGGTACGGATGTAGGAATTAGAGGTGGAGGTCCTGTGAGCCTTACTTGATTCTCCAGTAGAGAAAGAATTCAATTAAATGCATGACTGAACTGCTAAAGGAGCATGAAATCTGGCATGAAATTATAAAACCTCGCATCATTCTATTGTTCTCTGATGATATATAAAAATATCATCCATTGTTTGTCAAGACAGGAAATAGAGAGATGACTGCCACCTCTTTGAGACGTCCACACCTCCAATGATTTTTGAATGTCCTGAGAGTGTTTTTTGCATGGTGACCAAAATGTAAAATTACTGCTGTTTGGTGATCTTGGCAGTGCCCAGGACAGGGAAAAGGCAGTGTGCTCTGGTGTGTGTCAAGGATGGTCGAGGCCTGCTCTGTGTTGACCCAGAAACAGACGCAGGTTCTCTTTGGGAAGGCAGCTGCCCCATGTTTGGATAGAGGTCTCCATGAGGACTTCCTGAACAAACACGGCTCTCACCAGACTTCAGGCCTGGACCTTGGCCTGTTGGAACCTGACTGGGGACATTCCAGAGGCAGTCCCCACCAGGCGCTTCCCTGAGAGTAGCCTGCCACACTCTGTGTAGGCACTTTTGTCTGGTCAGTTGAATGGCCTGGGATTCCCATATAAGATTCAACTTTACTGGTTCACAAACACACCACACACAAGCCATGCTTATCACAGGAGGCGGCCTCCTGATTTTTATATATTTGTTTTGGAGGGAAGGCAGGGGCGAGGAGAGGGTGCCTGTCCACTGTCTTGGCCATTTCCTGGGTGTGTATGTATCAGCCCATGTCTCAAACACAATATTGCCCACAGGGCTCTTGCTAGGGTGAGGCAAAGACTCAGCTTCAGAACAGCTGGAAGGAGTGGCAAGTCTGTGTCCTTGTATGCTCAGTGACAGTTCAGGACAGGTCCCCCTCGTCCCTCCTTTCTGGGCCTGCTCAGAAGTGCATAGGTGGCTTCACACCCTCTTCTCAGAGGGGTTTTTGAACCTGATTGTTTTTGTATGATGGAGTTGGGGGAGTACAGCTTTGAGCTGCATCCTCCCCCATCCTCCTCCCCCATCCTCCTCAGAGCACAGGAGTGGTTTAGAAGAGGCTGGGCTCTGAAGAAGCTCTGCTATCTTCTCCTTGGGAGCAATTAACAACCTCAGGTGCCTGAAACCTAGGAAACAAAGAATGGAAACATTGAAAAAAACCGTTTGTGGTTGAGTTGGCTTTAACTCATGGTGACCCCCAGTGTGTCAGGTAGAACTATGCTTTGTGGTTGAGCTGGCTCTAACTCATGGTGACC